GGTCACAATGCCAGAAGCAGCTCTCCTAATTCCTAATCAAGGGTTCATTCCACTGAATAATTGTGTGTTCCTCCTCCTGAACCCTGTATTGATTACACAAAAACAATCCAGGTCTCCTTGACCATGAACACTGTAAAAAATGAATTGTGGAGGAGAGAAATAGAAAAGGAGAAAGGCAAGATATCCCTTTTACTGTGACATCCTTAAACTGCCTCCAATAGAAGGAAGCAAATAATCTACTTCCCAAATAATCTCAATCTTGGGGGAAAAAAGTCACATCTTGGATGGAAGGCCTTTTGTGCAGTAGTAAGAATTCACTGAACATTCTGTGCAGTCTTTACCCAGTTCCAAGGTCAAGAGAAACATCAGAAAATATGTGTGCATGTCAGAGGACAACATTATTCAGGGATTAGTCCCCTGGAGTGATCTGGGCTAGATTTCCGCTTCCAGAACAACTCTTGGAAAGTCCTCAACAAGATCGCACACTGTTCTCCAACATACTTCATTGAAGTACACATGGAAATCCAGGGACAGGAGAGCTTGCTAGAGGTGCCCTCTTGTAATGATTGAGTGGCTGGCTATAGAGACATAAAAATACAAAAGTAGGCTTAGGCCTCATGTGGCTTAAACAAACTACCTAGAAAAATATCTGAAAACAGTTAAGTCGAAAGGAGCCTTATTAATTGTTCTGGTTCAATCTTGTTTGATAGAGATGGAAACTGGGGCCCAGAAAAGGAGAATAACTTGTTAAAGGCCACACAGTGTCACTGACAGAGGGGAGATGATAATCCCCACCTCTACCCTTCCCCGAAGACACATCGCAGCCCCTGCCAGTTAAGAAAGACAAAGAGCTTTCTCCTTTCCACTCTCATCTGAAGGCCTAGAGACAACTCCACTGTGTACATCTGTTTGAAAATGTAGAGTCCTAAGACTTTAAAATAACATAACTAGAATTATCTCCAGAAAGGCAAACTAAGTGCCAGTAAACTTTTTTGCTGGGCATGAGTGCCAGTAACATTGACATCACATTTGCAAAAGGAGCTTTCCATTTAGCAAACATGTTGGCCAGAATAATGTCACTAACTGTGCTTTTGAGAGGAGCTTCTGTGTCCTCTGAGCTTCTATTTTAATTATACACATTTGACTGGTAAGTGTTTTGAAAACAATCACTCAAAGTTTAGAGACAGACATGATATGTAAGGGGAAAGCAAATCCAGACAATTCTGTCCTACAAATAGAATCCAGAAAAATCCTTTGCAAAACAAGCATTTTCAATGTGGAGAAGCAAACTCAGAAAACTGGGATAGTATCCTGCTGTTAAAATTGTTATTTACAAAGTACACAATAACATAGCAAGAATATTTAAGTTACCATTATGCTAGTGAAAAAAGCAGAATACAAAAATATATACACAGAAAAGCTCTACTATGTATAAAAACAGACAAAAATTTTACACAAGAAGAATCACTCGGCCGGGCGCGGTGGCTCACGCCTGTAATCCTAGCTCTCTGGGAGGCCGAGGCGGGCGGATTGCTCGAGGTCAGGAGTTCGAAACCAGCCTGAGCAAGAGTGAGACCCCGTCTCTACTATAAATAGAAAGAAATTAATTGGCCAACTAATATATATATACAAAAAAAAAAAAAAAAATTAGCCGGGCATGGGGGCGCATGCCTGTAGTCCCAGCTACTTGGGAGGCTGAGGCAGGAGGATTGCTTGAGCCCAGGAGTTTGAGGTTGCTGTGAGCTAGACTGACGCTACGGCACTCACTCTAGCCTGGGCAATAAAGTGAGACTCTGTCTCAAAAAAAAAAAAAGAATCACTCATCTGTGTGACAGTGTGCACGAATGCCTATCAGGGAGGTACGTCAGCGCAAGGCTAGAGGCTTCTCTCTCCCTTCAACAAGCTGAAATAGGCTGCCCCAAACTGCTTTTCACACTACAAGTTACGACCACTGACTATTTATTAATAGTATCTTGACCCACTGAAAACTTCTCCCACCCTTGCTCCTAAAAGGAGACCTGAGAATACCATCAGTGCCAAAACAAGCTGGGCAACAGCACTTGGATACCATTCTTCGCACATTCACGCGCCTGCCTTTATGCAATATTCTGGGATACCAGTCCCTCACTGCGTGGGTCTCTCCACATCTGACAGGCCAGGGTTTTATTTCTTCTCTGGTCAATAACATTTATTTTTTTAAGGGGAAAAGGGCAACTGATGCCTTCATGCCAGGCTTAGTCTGGTGAAAATCATTCTTTCATGAGAAAATCTAGAATTTCCTGAAGCCTTTTACCCCTCACCCTCCAACTATGGTTTCTCCAAGTGAAATGTCAGCATTTGTGAAGCCGTTTCAGGAAGCTGATACTTTCAGCACATAAGAGCCAGGGTTTGGCCTGAGCCCAAACTCTTTCTTTTTCTTTTTTTATAAGAAAAGAAAAAGAACAACATAAACCATCAGACATTTCCAATGTCAGAAACCTTTACTACAGCATTAGAACATAGAGTGGGTGTGCAAGAAGACAAAGGAAACAAGGAAAACAAATGTTTTAGTCCTCAGGCTTTTTTGTAGCAACTACACTGGCTTCAGCTGGATAACAAATTGTCCTGGAATTCTTGGCCTTGGAGCAAACACGTTGGCTCCCTGGTTACGCCTTCGTCACTGTTTAAAGTACCACACACTTTAACCTTCCTGTTCTGTCCATAGGCCTGGGGTTTGTCCTGTATCCAGGAAACTTTATATGTGGTCTAAACTGAGCATCCCAGCAGGCTGCAAGGCAGATAGCAGCTCAGGATTCAGAATGTTGACCAATTCCTACCTGGATCCACACCACCAAGCTGTAACTCAGCCTGCCTGTGCAGAAATAGGAGCCCAGCCACGTGGCTAACAGCTTTTTTAACTGCTACTCTCAGCAATGAGGAACTTTCCCAGCAGACAAGATTCAGGGAGATGGCCTTCTTCAAGAGAACTAAAAAGGAAGCAATATCAAGATTGATCCAACAGATACACCAGGTTCAACCAGATAACTCCAGCCAATAAGCAAGCCTCCAAAGCTCAACTAAGCCAGGAGGAGATAAGGGCCAGGTGTTGCCAATCTGCTCTTGAGTCCTTAGGACCTCTGGTCATGAGCTCAGGACATCTTGCAGAGGTCTGCCTCCGTGTCACTAGATTCTCATAAAAGGTTTCATACTTTGGTCAGGAAGGAAGCCGGTACATGCCCCAGTAGCACCTAAACTGCATCATTCAAATGCCCAACACATGAAAAGAACAAGAACTCTGGCTCCACTTTCCAGGGACAAAGTATAGAATATGATACCATTCGTGTTAAAACAAATGAGGAGAGGAGGTAGGAATATGTATACGCAGAAAACATCTCCGCAAGGGAACACAAGAAACTGGCAGCACTATCTCTGGGGAGGGGAACTGAGCAGTTGGGAGAAAAGGGTGGGAAGAAGGCTTTACCTTTGTATCTTTTGAATTTTGAACCATATGAATGTATAACCTTTCAAAGAACAAATTGAAATTTTTGAAAATGCAGAATGCTACAATCTTATTTTTTAAAAAAGAGAAAAAAATGCTCTATAAATGTGTATGCTCAAAGAAAATATCCTGTAAGAATATTCAATTGTGACCCATAATTACTCCCAGGAAATGGGAGTAAAGGAAGAAGTTCATGTTTCATTTTATACAGTCTGTATTGTTTTAACAGTTTCCAAAAGGTAGTACTACTGTTGCAACTTTTGCTTTAAAAAAAGAAGAAAAAAAGTCTTTACAAACTGCAATCTCACTTCCAACAAAAATCCCTAAGCTCCCACAGCACTCAGTCTCATGTTACTAAATCACATCCCATCTTATGTTACAATTATTTGTGTCCAGGTCTCATCTCTGTTGAATGTTGGAGCGACTGCAACTGCAGTCTGCCCACCACTCTGGCTCCACTTTCCAGGGAGAAAACTACAGAAAAAGAACCAATAAAGGATAAAGCAGCAACCAAAATACAACCAAGCAATTACACAATATATATATGTAATATATAATACCTGGGACTGGCCTGGGCAGAACATGGATGCTTTTGTAACTCCTGGCACAGGAGTAGGTAGATGACTGATAGAGCAGATATTCAAAAATAATGTGAAGTCTAAAAGGAAATATATTATTTAACATGGACCTAAGCCAATTCTTTGCCAGTCACCAGAAACACAGAAATGACTATAATTCTTACCTTCAGGAACTTATAGACCTGCAACTCTTATTAATTTATAAATAAGTTCAAGTAACTAAGATATGGTATAATTGCTTTACTAGATATATACAAAAAGTATTTGGGAGACACAAAGAAGGAAGGGACCATTCTTACTGAAAGAGGTCAGATGGTCAAAGAAAGATTTCTACAACAGATTTTCCTTGAACTGAGTCTTACAAAGAATAATTTACCAGATGACAAAAAAGCTCATTTAGGGAACACACGGTCTGTGGAAAGGCATACCATATATGATTAGGTGATTACTGACAAATTAAAATATGGAAGGATATTTTGACATAAGATAGACAAAAGTTACATAGCACTTTTCTTTAAGGAAAGAGCCTGTGCTTTTCAAAGTTCCTAGACCTACCTTTCAAACTACCCATTTCCCCCAAAAGATGTGAGCTCCAAAAGGGCTTGGCAAATTTAAATATATCATAAATAAAATCAGAGAGGGGAAGACAAAACATATTTATTCTAGGCTAGGTCTTAAAATGTACCCTGCACTGTTCCCTATTATCATCATCAATACCAAAAAGGGAAGAATATGCCTTAACAACAGCTCCGCCCAAAGCTTGGCAAATGGCTGCTGTGAGGGTCCCCATGAGTCCATAGTCTTCTTCCTCACTGGTGTAGTCAAAGAGGTTTTCTACCCTCATAGCAAAGGGCTCCTTAACTATAAATTCACTGTGTACAGAGAAGAGGAAAGAATCTGATATATTGATTGTTCCTCATTTAAACCATGACTTAATCCCTATCTCAGGATTTAACTATCTTTATTTTCTAATAAAAATTTACAAAAGGGAGGGGGATAAGGGAAACAAGATTACACTGTGTTGACATCGAGACTTTAAATTCTAGTCAGAGTTAAGACCCATATTAAATGCCAACTGATAGCTTAAAAGGAAATAAGTACGCGGTGTCTAATCGAGACATACATGAGTTGAGTCTCATGATTAGCCTCAATAATGTAAGAAAATAATTCGCAATAACATTGGAGTCCATGGTTGTCAAGTATGCTTTCTTGGGCACAGATAGGTGAAAGTCTGGAGAAATGGGTTTTCTCCATGCCTGGTGACAAAGATGGCTCCTGGTTTGATGTAAGAGCAAGTCCTGTTGCCAGGTGCTGTCTGCAGCTCACAGCTAGGATTAGCAGTGGAATCGAGTGGAGAACTTGGGAGATACAGGCACAGTCAGAGGCTGGTCACTTGACTTTACCTCCACACCCTGGTACTTCCGTACTGGATTTGCCTTATGCACCTGTGGGGTAAGGAAAATAAAGTTACCACTGAGAGGGATGTTAGAGAACTATGCTTATGGTTTATTTTTTCTTTTTGAGAAAATGTTTGTATAGTTTTATAGATCCCAGTCACTAACTTAAAGGTGGGGGGAGGTGAAGGGAAGCAACACGGTGTAGTGGAAAAATGCATGACTTTAGAGCCCAAATAGGTTTCCATTCAGGTTTTTATTTGGTCCCTCAGCTATCACTAAAAAATATCATACCTATTTCCAGTATGATTTACTAGAATACAATAGGCCTGTACTTAATTGTAGTAAAGAAGATTTAAGAGTTAAGAATTTCCTAGAATATAATCTTAAACTTACTCTTTGTTTTACTTAACTTTTTACCTTTTCTTGCCATTTGATGTTGCAATAATAACTGACTCTTAATATTCACCAAAAGCATGAACAAGGCTGGGAGCCGCAGTGGCTCACGCCTGTAATCCTAGTACTCTGGGAGACCAAGGTGAGCGGATTGTTTGAGCTCAGGAGTTTGAGACCAGCCTGAGCAAGAGCGAGACCCTGTCTCTACTAAAAATAGAAAGAAATTAATTGGACAACTAAAAATATATAGAAAAAAATTAGCCGGGCATGGTAGCGCATGCCTGTAGTCCCAGCTACTCAGGAGGCTGAGGCAGGAGGATCACTCGAGCCCAGGAGTCTGAGGTTGCTGTGAGCTAGGCTGACGCCACGGCACTCACTCTAGCCTGGGCAACAAAAAGCGAGACTCTGTCTCAAAAAAAAAAAATAAATAAATAAAATAAAATAGAAAGACATTAATTGGTCAACTAAAAATATATAGAAAAAATTAGCCAGGCATGGTGGCGCCTGCCTGCCTGTAGTTCCAGCTACTCGGGAGGCTGAGGCAGAAGGATTGCTTAAGCCCAGTTGTTTGAGGTTGCTGTGAGCTAGGCTGACGCCACGGCACTCTAGCCCGGGCAACAGAGTAAGACTCTGTCTCCAAAAAAAAGCAAAAACGGGTTATTGTCAACCTTTTTAAGCATAGTATTATTGTGGGTTTTTTTTTTTAAGTGGTTATATTTCAAATATACATACTGAAGTATTTTTAGATGAAAAGAGATGCTATCTAAGATTTACTTCAAAGTAATCAATCTTGTGTAGGTAGAAGTATCCAGTATAGGGGTAAATAGGTAGACGTATGGATGAAATAAGATTTTCCATGTTTTGATCATTATAGAACTAGATAATGGGTTCATGGAAGTTCATTATATTATTTGTTCTACTTTTGTATATTATGTGAAAAACTTAAAAAAAATTTTTATTACAGAAAATGCCCCACACAGACATTCTGTGTGTTGGTCCTTGAGTAGGGGAGATTCACTACTGCTTCCAAAGCAATAGTGCGGAGGTTTCCCACAGAACATCACCAACGGGGGACCTACATTCAGTCATGCAAGCAATCACATCTCTTGGGCTTCATGAGGGGTGATTCCTACAAAGAAAGATTAGCCCAGAGCTCCTTTTGCACAAAAGTCCAGGGTAAGTGATGACACAAAAATTCCAAAAACCTTAAAAATTCAAGGCAATATTTTTCCAGCTGGGCAGAATCAGATCCCAATGAAATCAGATAATAACCAATTACTTGTTTTTAATCACCTGTCATCTATAAAGAGCAAATAGCACACCATACTGAAAAAATAGCATATCACATTGAGATCTATTCTCCCATACTGTTTCTTACCAAAGCACCAACAGAAAGGAGTAAATACTAAATGAACAAGTCTAATACATAGAATACATGAGACTCCTGACTCAAAAAAAAGCCCATCAGTTCTCACATTCCCCAGGTGATCACTAAGAGCAGGGGTGAACAAACTTTGGCCTAAAGGCCAAATCAAGCTTGCAACTTGGTTTCGCACAGCCCTTGAATGAAGAATGGTTTTTACATTTTCAAAGGGTTAAACACACACACACACACACACACACACACACACACACACACACACACACACGACAGAGACCATATGTAACCTATAAAACCTAAATTATTTACTATTGGCCCTTTACAGAAATAACGTACTAACTCCTGATTGATAGTGAAAGCCCCTGAAATAATCCAGAATGTTATCCAAGATGATTTCAGTGTAGTGGATCTGCCTAACTAACCAATCAAGCAATTAACATTTTGGCTGCTCTCCCCAACCCCTACCTGGTGCTTCCAAATCTGCGCCTTCAGAGCACCTCTTTTGTCAGTCTCCAAGCAGAAAGGCTCACTCTGGGTCACATTCTTTACCTTCTTCTCTGGCAGGTTAATGGTATCAAAATGAGGCAAGGGAAGTGCCTTGAACTTGGGCACCTAATGGAAAAAAAAACATGAGATTTAAGATAAAGACACCTCTAGCCAGAAAACAACAGATGATCCAGAATATCTGGATGAATCTGAAAAATAGGGAAGCCCAACCAGTATTCAAAGCAGCATGGTCTAGCAGAAAAGACCAATGGGCTCAAAAGGAAATCTAGGTTGTCCTCCCTTCCTTGCAAGTAACTGCAATGTAATCAGAGGGAAGTCACTTAACCTCCTTGGCCAGAAGGATTAAATTGCTTGCCCCATATATATTTTATAGGATTCTTAGAGGGATCAAAGGAAGTTAGTAATTTTACAGTTAAAAGTGCTACAGAGGCCGGGCGCTGTGGCTCACGCCTGTAATCCTAGCTCTTGGGAGGCCGAGGCGGGCGGATGGCACATCGCTCAGGTCAGGACGTTCAAACCAGCTGAGCAAAACCCATCCTCTACTAAAATAAAGAAATACACTGGCCAACTAAAAAATATCTAGAAACAAAAATTAGCCAGCATTCGTGGTTCATCTATAGTCCCACTACTGGAGCTAAACAGACAAGTGACCACGGAGTTGAGTTGCCCACGCGAGTACGCTGACATGCATGGCACTCTAGCCCCGGCAACAGTGACCGAATCATTGTCTCAAAACATAAGTCACAAGAACAGATTACTTTGAGGACGGAAAGAACATATATGTTACGACATGCAGAGATAGCGAACACTTCCCTCCCTTTCTCAGTTCTTTTATTTTTCTCCTTTGTACAACTGACGTTCTCTGTCTCGGAATCATAAGGAGAAAGACACATCCCATGCAGTTCTTCCCTCTAACATTTTTGGCTTAAAAGGCACCCATAATGTGTACAGGTTGATCCTTTTTACTCTGGTTTCATCCTCTCATAGCATAAAAAATACAGTGCGTAAAAGACTTCTCACCTCCAATCAACAGAAACAAAGTAAAAACAAACAGCTGCTCTAGATAAGAAATCAGCAAAGACTGGATCCAGAAAGAGGCAGAATGAAGACACTCCCAAAAAAGACACTGTATAGGAAAGCAACCAAACAAGAATACTGAACAACTGAGAAATACATTCAAATATGTGTACAGAAGCTCAATGAAATATTTAAGAGATACATGAACCACCCAACACAAGAAACCCACAAAACAACGAAAATCACAAAGAAACGAATTATTCTGCCTAGAAATACCAGTGCCTGTACTTTTTAATTTTTATATCTTCTACAATTCATCTTTAAATATTTATATTTAATTTTATTTAATTAAAAAAGTAAAAGAGGCCGGCGCTCGTGCTCACGCCTGAATCCTACTTGGAGCGATGCGGGCGGCATTGCCAAGGTCACGGAGCATCAAAAACCAGCCTGAGCAAGGTGAAACCGTCTCTACTATTAAATATCAAAGAAATCAACCCTGCAACGATATATCATATATAAAAATACCGGCATCGGTGCCACATGCCTGTATCCAGTACCAGCCCTGGGCAGAAGGACCCGACGAAGGCTGTAGCTGGCTGACCCCCACGCACTCACTCTACCCCTGGCCAACAACAGCAGACTGTCCTGTCCTCAAAAAAAAAAAAAAAAAAAAAATCAAATTATTGAAAAAAAAACAACAGAGCTCGGAAATGAAAACCTTCAAGCAGCGCAACACCACGGCAAGCTTAAAATAGGCTAATCAGCCACAAAAAGAATCAAAGAGCAGAAAACACACTTCTGATTAAACATCGGCAAAGAAAAGAACAATTGTCATGCTCACACCTGTATCCTCCACCTGAAGCCCGCAGACGATACGCTGACCCCCAGCAGTTTGAGACAGTCTGAACAGAAGCGAGATCCCCTCTAGAATAGACAAAAATCGCGTGTACACATCTGCTTCCAGCACTCAGGTGCTGAGCAGGAAGATCACCTTGAGCAAGACCGGTTAGCTCTACCCCATGCCACTTACCCACAACACTAGTGAAACCTACCAAAAAAAAATCTAAAATAAGACAGACATCAGTTTTCACAGATGCGACAAAACTAAATGATATCAACGTCACGTCCTGTACGTGCAAAAATTTGTAATGAACATTTAAATAAAAGTAATACTACACTCCCATTCCTTTATTCAGCTTGACACTTGTATATAATAATGAACATCAAAATATCTCAATCAAGCCATATACCCGCTGCCTCTCATGTTATCCAATGCACTAAACATGGAAGATTTGCCAAACAAGAAATACCCAAGTATTGG